AGACCTCATGTAAATGTAGGAAATAAAGTTAAATCTTCCCTAAGCACTCTTCTGATTTTTCTTTGCCATATGTTCTGTGGCTTTTAAAGGGGAAAGTGACAGAATTATAATAGAAATATAAAAACTGTAATAGAAATAAAAATATACAAAGATAATCTTAATATTGTGTAAGCATAATAAAGCACAAAAAAAAAAAAAGCCCGGAAACAATATTTTAAGGAAATAAAGTTTGGTATGCTTGTTTTTTTTTTTTTTTAACTTTCTTAAAGCATACACAGCAGAGTGTTATCAAAGCATTATTTACCACACATGATTTCTCCTAGTTATTTTTGCTATGATTGGTCTTCAAAAACGCATTCTCATTGACCTTCAGATATTTAAGGATATTTGGAAAAAAGTTGAGAACATGCTTTATTGCCACCTACTTTTTTTCACAGAGCGGCTGTCAGTTTGTATGAAATTAGTATCAGGAGTTCTTTTACGGAGATTCTTTTCTAAATGGCCTTTCAGTTACAACATTTGTGAGTTGGAATACTATGCCACGTTTGTCTCAGTTCCTCAATGCCTAAAATAATTGTGTGTGGTGAAAAATTGATATCTAAAGTATCATAACTATTAAATAGTATAAAAATACAACAAACTCTATTAAGTAGATTTGATTTTTCTAAGAATCCCTATCATTCAAATCCCCTTCTCAAATCTCAAAGGGAAGACTGTTAAATCCTACAGTTTATTTCATATGTGTATTAGTCTGCTCTTGCACTGCTATAAAGAAATACCAGAGACTGGGTAATTTATGTAGAAAAGAGGTTTAATTGGCTCATAGTTCTGAAGGCTAGCTTCTGCTTGCTTATGGAAGGGCCTCAGGAAACGTAAAATCATGGCGCGAGGTGAAGGGGAAGCAGGCATGTCTTACATGGCTGGAGCAGGAGGAAGAGAGAAGGGGAGGTGCTACACACTTTTAGACAACTGGAATTTGTGTGATCTCATTCACTATACAGTATCAAGAGGGGATGGTGCTGAACAATTGATGAGAACTCCACCACCATGATCCAATCACTTCCCACCAGGCCTCACCTTCAACACTGAGGATTACAATTTGACATGGGATTTGGGTGGGGATACATATGTAAACCCTATCAGTATGATAATTACTAGCCTCATTCATTTTTGGCTTATATGGTCACGTTTGCAGTGGAACTGCCTGACTGATACATCTCTGTTTAAATAAAAAATAAAATCTGCATGTATTTTCTGATTTCTTAGCAACTGGTAGGTGTGGGGAAATCCTGTTAGGTATGGGCTTGTTTCAGTGGGAAGATAGACTGAGCTGTGTCATTTTAGGTGTCTACATTTGATTAACTAATGACTGTATTTCAAAATATGCCATATTTTAAAATGTAGAACTCAAGTGTGAAAAAGGTAAAGTTCTGATGAATGATAGGCTACTCTTAGTAACATAAAAGTAAATCAAAATTAACATTGAAAACAATCAGGAAATTTTACCTTTCATCTGGAATTTACCTGGCCATTTGTTCTTATCTGCATGTAAATGCAAAATTCACCAGACTTATTGTGAAATAATATATGGAAAGTTTCAAATGGATTTTAATGGAAAACTGATCCACAAGAAAAATTATAGAAATATCAATAGCAACACCAGTGTCCTGGGTATCTAAAGAAAAGAAAAGGATTAATATTCTGTCCATACTATTCAAATGCAGGTGACAGTTGTCTTCACATTCATGATTTAAGAGAAGTACAATGGCATATCAGCCAACTGTGCCAACATATGATTTCTAATTGCAGGTGTGGTTTATGATAGGAGAAAAATAGGCTGTTCTTTATTGCTTCAGAGGGAAAATAGAATTCTTATGGAACATCAGGGAATTGGATATGTGGATTGGGAGAGAAAGATCCCACTATATTGTAAGAAAGTGAAAACTAGGCATGTAGCCACAGAGATGAATTTGAGACGGAAACTTTTGTTTCTATGTTCATAATAATCAGCTCTTTTATATTTTGCAACATTTAAGTTGCACAAAGTCAAGCCCTTTCATGAGAGTTCAGCATAAAGTCTTCATGAAGAAGTAAAACCATACTCTCAGTTCCCCCTGGGTTTGCCCTCTGGTTCAAGGAGGGAAGTTAGACAGGAGTAGAATTAAAGTAATAAATATTTTACTCTTTTACTCTGAGTTAGCTTCAAACTCAGTCTGTCCCCTGTATTTCTATCTATTGTGCTATGGCTGAAAGTAGGGTTAGAGACCACTTTCAGAAGAATCAGCATAGGACTTGAGTCTCCAGTTTTCCCTGGTAATGCACAGTGTCTGCCTATCTCTGCGCAGATAGGACTTGAAATTAGAGTAGACTCCACTAGTGGGAGGAATAGGATTTATTCATATTTGTTTGGAAGGAGAATTCATAAGGATTTAGGAATTAGCATCTATGGATTGTCTTTTTTCATTCAGTTTGAGATTTTCCTGGTTCTTAGTGTGTCAAGTGATTTTCGATGGAAACTTGGACATTTTTGTATTATGTTATGCAACTCTAGATCTTATTTGAAGCATTCTGTTTTAATTGGCTCTGACTGACACCTCTGCAGCTGAGAAAGCAGTGGGTGCCACCTTATCATTGCTACACGGAGGTGAAAATCTCAGTTCTCCACTTGTCACCTGTTGACATGTTGTGTATGTGTGTGGGGCGTCCTTGTTACTGTTGGGCACAGGTAAAATTCCCAGATCCCCATGTGGTCTCCCTTGATACCACAGTTAGAGTGTTCTTGTTCCCAGTGTGCAATGATTTTGCCACCTCTGTATTGAAGGGAAGGGGAGAAATATCCAGTTGTTGCTGGGTAGAGATGGATGTCAGGGCTTCCTACCATGGTCTCCACTGACACTGTAGATGCTTCATTATTCAGCTGCCAGGCATAAAGGTGCTGGTTTCCTACTTGGTCTTCTCTGACTCCACCCTAGTGCGGGTATTTTTTCAGAGGCTCCCTTTCAGAGCCTCATGAGGATGGAGATCTAGTAACGCCATTCAGCCTTTGCTGGCATGAATGGTCACAGGTTCATCTATGGAGTTTGGCTGGAGTAGAGCAGTTTGTCTAAAAGTTGCTTATGTTGCTACTCTGGCCCTTTCCTGGTTCTGTAGCTAGAGAGAGCCGACATTTGTGGTCTCTGCCCATTGGTGTTTCTGGGTTGCTGGCTTCCATGCTTGTTGGCTTTTCCAGGTTTCTGACTTCTTTAGCTACAAATCTGGGATATTTGAGGCAAAAAGAAAACCCAGAAATCTCACCACCATGTTTCTTGGGTTCTAAGGTCTCAGGCTGGTCTACCTTCTCTTCACCTTACAGAACTTTCTTGCATTTATATGTAACATCCATGTTTTTTTGTTTTTTGTTTTTTTTTGTTTTTTGTTTTTTGTTTTTTTTTTAAGTTGTATTTAGCCAGAGGAATAAGAAAAAGTAAGTCTGGGCTGGGAGTGGTGGCTCACACCTCTAATCCCAGCACTTCAGGAGGCTGAGGCGAGTGGATCAGTTGAGGTCAGGAGTTCAAGACCAGCCTGACCAATATGGTGAAATCCCGCCTCTAGTAAAAATACAAAAATTAATCAGACATGGTGGCATGTGCCTGTAGTCAGTCCCAGCTACAAGGGCAGCTGAGGCAGAAGAATTGCTTGAACCCGGGAGGCAGTGGTTGCAGTGAGCTGAGATCATGCCACTGCACTCCAGCCTGGGCGACAGAGCAAGACTCCATCTCTAAAAGAAAAAGTAAGTCTGTTTTATCTTCTTGGAAGCAGAAGTCCTTGCTATTCAATTTTCATTTTTATTTATTATTACCAATATTATATTAAGCCTTTAAAAATACAAAGAGTATAAAAGAATTTGTATCTCTCCATTTATTATTTTTGATGGACATCAGTATCCTTCACCTCTAAACACGTCAGCATACATATTATTAATGAGACTTTACTATCTGTTTGGTTTTTTAAGGTAAATTTTACATAAAGTGAAATACAAAAAATTATAAATGCCATTTGATGAGTTTTGGATAATCCAACCATTATTGAGATAATTTCCATCACTCCCGTAAGTTCCCTCAAGTTACTTCTCAAGTAATTTCTACCTCCTCACCCCAAGAAGAAACTACTGTTTTGATTTTTCTTTTTTATTTTTGGCCATAATTTCAAGTGCTATTTTATTGATGGCATAATATTATAGTTTATCCATTCTGGTCTGCTTCCAGTTCTTTGCCATTAAAATTTGATAGTTGGTATAATGTAAGTCACTGCTCTCTTCTGTCAGCCTACAACACAGTGCAAGCAAGGCAACTTAAGATTTTGTGTGCGTCTTCTGGTTAATAAAATAGTGAAGGCTTACTAAGACATATTTTTGTCACACACAGTACCCAATTTTTCCACATATTTCTTGTTGTTAATGTAGTTACCAGTTTCTTTGAAACTCAAAACCTTTTTTGTAATAGAAGCAAAAGATAGTTTTAGCATTGTAAAAATAAAATTTAGCTTCCTGGCACCAAGTTTTATTTTGTGAAAGAGAAACCATGATTTAAACTACACCATCACTGTAATATTCATTATGGAGAATGTGAGACTAGTCTCTGGAGGAACATCCTATTTCAGAAATACATAGAATACTCTATTTCCATAGAAAATATTGATGTGGTTGCTGGAGATGGATTCAGCTGTGTCGCATAGGCACGTATTTATCTGGCCCCATCTGTAATATAAGTCTCTTGCTTCCATTCTGTTTCCCCAAAATGGTATTCTAAGTGGATTGTAATTTCTCATTGACTGATTTACTGATTGCTATGAGAGGAGTCCTACCAGCTGTGAAATGGGACAAGTAAACGTTATGTGAGATTCCAATTAGAGTGAGCGTGCTTACCTTTAACAGCCCAGGAAGCAATCAATGATGTTATTTTATTACAACCTTTTTTTTTTTTTTTACAACCTTTCTCTGTCTATATTTTTTTTTAATACAGTTGATGGACTGGACAAAGCTTCTATAGCAAACTCAGATGGCCCCACAGCAGGTTCCCAAACCCCTCCCTTCAAGAGGAAGGGGAAACTATCCACCATTGGTAAAATCTTTAAGCCTTGGAAATGGAGGAAAAAGAAGACCAGCGACAAATTTAGAGAAACCTCAGCAGGTACGAGTATCGTAACTTGTTAGAAGACAGGATAAATTGTAAAATGTTTTAAAAGGTAGAAAATTGTATTTTACCGAGTGTTTTTTTCCCAGAAAAAATTAACCCGTATTTAAAATGAAATTATTTATTTTGTGGATTAAACAACTTAAGAGTTCTGATTTGCCTTCTTTTTATACTGACCTTGACTTTCTAATATATTCTTATTTAAAAATATATATTTGTAAATTTATATAAAAAATGGATGGGTGAGACAACAGAGTAAAATCGTAGAAAATGGTAAGTGGAAATGCTGTTCATCAACATTGTGGTGGCAAGTATCTATTTTTATATACACATAATGTTACATGTATATTTAACTAGTTAGACTATACTATTTTACTAATATGTAAATATTTAACTATTTAACTAGTTTATACTACTATATATGTTACATTATGTTTTATATTTATATTTATATAACTAACTAGTAGACTATACTACTATATATGTTAACATTATGTTGCGTATATAGTAGTATGGTCTTATTTGTTAATTAAGACTTTGTAAAACTGTCTTTTTTGATGTATTCATTCTTTAGGAAAGATTTAAGTGGCTATATGAAAGAAAAGTTTTGTTATATTTTTAAAATTTCCATCATATCCTTAGGACAAATAAATGGTCTCTGTCTTAAAAGAGTAGAGGCATAACCCTGTTGATGTGAAAATGTTTGCTTGTTAATTTAGTTTGTAGATGCGTTAAACCTTAAGAGTTATATTGCTTAGTGCCTTTCATATGGATTCATGAAGGAAGCTGGCTTTAAATCTCAGGCCAAAATTCAGCCTAACTGAAACAAGTGCCAGTGTCGGTGTATTTTGTCTAAGAAAAGTGTTTGTTAGGTTCAACGTTCCCATGCTTACTGTCCAAAGCAATCCCTTCATCAGAATCCCTCCAATGCAAGACAGTCTAATATTGTTAGTAGAGGTACAGGGTCACAGAGCGTATCTTATTGGTCTGTACTAAGATAAGAGCTAGGCTTTTGTTTCAGAGCTGTGAAATGAAATTGAATACTACACACAATACAAGGATATAGAAGAGGGACATCAAATCTCCCCAAAGAAAATTGTCTCAGATGCATTTGCAGCTATATAGTTTATTTGAGCATTTCATATTTAACAAGAAATAATGATAAGCTACCTGGAATTTGTTTCAAAATAATCCTAAAGGAGGGTGAGGTTGGTAAGATTGTCAATGAAGGAAGACTGCCAATTAGGTTCTTTAAGCTGGGCAATGGGTCCATCATGGTTATTACTCTTATTTCTCTACTTATAGATATTGGAAATTTTCTGTAATCAAAAGATAAAGAAGAGAGACTTGGCTTAAGGGAAAATAATGCTGGTTTGGTTATTGGGTCCTCTTTAGCACCTAAGTGGCGTCTCGGGTTAGCAGTGAGAAGTGAGGCAGAGTGCTGTGCTGTGTGAGGACACCTGGCTGGGTGACCTTGAACAAGTCAGATCAGCTTCAGGTTTCTCGCCCGCAAAATTGGGAAGTTGAATGTTCTGAACTCGAAGGTGCCTTAGTTCCAGATTCTGTTGTTGGTCCTCAGGGATACCCTCGACTCCTTCCAGTCCCTGGCTGGGCATCTTGTTCTCCTGTGTTTTTTGATTGTAGACGGAACCTCACTGGCCTTCTTCCAGTGCCTCCCTCTCACATTTGCTTAAGCATTAGGAGAATCTGGCTCTTCACATTACCAGCACTTCCCAAGGTGGGAGCAGAGCTCCAGATGTAAGGTTCAAAAACTAACGTAAGGTACAGAGGGGCGTATCAAATGCTAGTTTTTTCCATGTTGGAGAAAGATGTCATATCTAGAGGAAGACTGATTTATTCAGTCGATGCAAAAGTAATTGTGATTTTTGCCATTGCTTTTAGTGGCAAAAAAATCACAATTACTTTTGCACCAACCTAGTATTTGGATATAACCAAGAGAGTTATTTTCTTCTTTAAAAAATTATCTCAAGCAGTGAAATGGAGCTGTTAGGATGTAAGGGCTGTCTGCTGTCTGGCAATCAATGAAGTACACCTTAGGCAAGACCCACAATATCTCAAGGTATAAAAGAAAGTTAATTTCTTCCAAGAAAAGTAACTCTTCTATGTTTGGCCTTCTCTTAAACTCCTGGGTTGTTATTCACATGGATATGAATCTTACTGTGTTCTGCTGCACAGTGATAAACACCGCTTTTCCTAGTATGGGTTTCTGTTATAGGAATTCTTAATTGCTAGTAGACAGAATGTAGCACTGTTTTATTAATGCATTGTAATAATATGTTTACTATTGTGGTGGGAGGTTAGAAGGGTCCTATTCGTGGCCTGTTTTGGTGGTCCTTGAGTCAGTTGTATTTTGGAATGTTCCTTCTATGTCCAAAGCACATCTTGCCCTAGAAGGCAGGCTGGGCTTATGCCCCAGCTCCCTGATCTCTGGCCTTATTTTAAAGCAGAAAGTTTCCAGTATCTTTGGCTCTGATTTAGGCTATTCAGTGTCTGACTGTTGGATTCTAGAGCAGGAGAATAGGCCTCTTTTCCATCCACTTCCCCCAGCTACCCCTCTTCACTGCTTTTCTTGTGCGTGAGAGGTCCCACCTAAGCTCTAGGTTCTTCTAGCCCTTCCCTATCTTTAGAACTCAAAATGGCATTTGTACCTTTTTTCCTACATGATCATTTCCCCCCATTTTGCTTTGCTTTGATTTGATTTGGTGGGAGGTGAGGATATAAACATCCTTCTTTTGGATTTTTGTGTGTGCTTATGTCTCCCCAAAGCTAAGAGTACAAATGCCCTCTCTAAATAAACACAGTTGTTCCTATAACTAATCATAGTGTCTTACCATCAAGACCAAACTTGCTGAAAATCTAACCTACCTCTGCTGCCTCACTTTCTTCCCACATTCTCATTCTTTTTCCCATTCCAATCTACCTCTGTGTCCTGTATTCACTAAGGTTACTCCAAGCCTTCTAATCTAGTGTCTAGACTAGTGGCATTCTCTTATTTTCATTCTTATGAATTATTTCTCTTATTTTCATTCATTTCAACCTCTACAACATTTGCTGTTACTGAATAGTCAGTCCTGCCTTAATTTCCAAAATACCTCTTCCTTACTTTACAAAAGCTACCATTGTCTTGGACTTCTCTTTCTCTCTTTTGCCTTCTCTCTTCCTCTTCTCATCGCCCCTAACCTCCTGAGGGAAGGCTGCTATGTACCTTAGCCCTTCTGTTGCTTTGAGTATGATCTTCTTTCCCATACCCGCATCCCTCAAACTGGCCCAGGCTAAGGCCGATGCCCACACATCTACCCAAGCACCTAATGGGTAGCACTCTCTGAAGACAGCATGTTAACTCAAAATCCATTCATACAGTCTATATGTATTTCCATGGAAAACATCTGAGCTGCCAGGCACTGTTCTGGAAGCCTGGTATTCTGCAGCCAATAAGCAAGTAAGGTTCCTGCCCTCATGGAACTTTTACTCTAGGCAGGTGAGGTACTAATAAATGCTATGATGGACACAGGGAGTGAAGGAAGAGGGAGTGGAAAAGTACTATGTACAAATGCATTCCAACAAAAACAGATCCCCTGTCAACCCCAGCTATCCTTGCTACTGTAGACGTGGCTTCCTTTGGCATCCAGACTTTGAACCATGGAGTTCTTTGCCTCTTCTTTCTCTTACCATATTCTACCTTCTGTGAGCTCCTAAAACTTTTGATTTATTCTAAAGTCTTTAACATCAGCCTATCTTGCCAATCGTTGTTGTCTAGTCCTATCACCTAATGTCTCCATTAGTGCAATGTAGCCTTTTTCTATGCTTATTTGTAGCTACCTATGAAATCTGTAGATCACTAGAGAAGACAGGGAGAGTCAGGGTTCCAGCAGCAAGCTACCTACAAGGGGAACCTGACCCAGCTGCTGAGGCTGACAGAGGAAGTTTGGGATGTCACGGGCTGTCAGGAACCCCAGAGTGACCACGGTAATGACATTACAAGTATCAAGCCAGGAAAATAGAGCAATGAATACTTCACCACAAAATGGCACAAGTTCCAACAGGTAGGATAAGTCTCAGAGCACCCAGGTGAGCAATATTAGAAAATTCAGGAAGGCCTCAGTGACCAGGGTGTTCCTTTCTCAGGCAGAAGTATTTAGGTGGGGCAGATGGTGTCTGGCATGGGAATCAGAAAGACTTGAACAGGACCCTGGTCACACAGGCTGGAGTGCAGTGGTGCTATCACAGCTCACTGCAGCCTCAGTCTCCCAGCTTCAAGCAAGCCTCCCACCTCAACCTCCTGAGCAGCTAGGACCACGGGCACACGCCACAATGCCCAGCTAATTTTTGTACTTTTGTATTGTACTCTTAGTAGAGATGGGATTTCGCCATATTGCCCAGGCTGATCTCAAACCCCTGTGCTCAAGCAATCTGCCTGACTCAGCTTCCCAAAGTGCTGGGGGTATAGGCGTGAGCCACTGTCCTCAGCCTATGGCTCTATCCTTTTTCAAAGAACGAGGGAATAGAGCTGATAAGTAAGACAGGAACTTACCAAAGGACTCAGGGCAGAAACTTGCTGTATAAAGTGGAACACAGGGAATGGATTTGGAGGAGGAATCTTTTAAGATCCTAAGCCTGTGGTGCTGGAGCTACTGTTGCTAGAATGACATAGCCCAGGAGCTGGGTGAGCAGGGAGAGGAGGGCTTGCTCTGGTCAGCAGCAGTGGCCCAACATGGGTGGATCTGGGGACATAGGTGGGCAGAGCACCCGTCTCCCCTCTTGCCCTTCCAGATTGTCTTGGATGCCACCATCAGGAAACATTCCTCAGATGGGACTTTGCTCCTGTCACTTCTTGCTAAAAAGTGTGACTGGGTCTGCATGGTTTCTTCAGTGAAATCCAGACACCTCAGCTCTTCTCAGTTTAACCCAAACTGGCCTTGTCTTTTCTCTTCGTCCTCAGCCCTGGGACTTCGGTCATGCTGGGTCACCGGCTCAGC